CCTGGTGTCCACTGCTATTCTTTTATATGGCTGTAATATTGTTTGAAATATTGTCCTCACAAAAATTGGGCGGTCGGGTAGCCTAGTGGTTTAAGCGTTCGCTCGTCACGCCAAAGACCCGGGTTCGATTCCTGAATGGGTACAATGTGTGAAGCCCATTTCTGGTGTCCCCCGTCGTGATATTGCTCGAATATTGCCAAAGGCGGTGTAAAACCACACTCACTCACTCACTCACTCTTACAAAAATGAAAAGTGAAATGGACACTATTGATTCTTGATTTCTGGATGGAGCATTTGCCTGAAAGCGGAAGGTCAGTGGTTTGATACCCAACCACATCATACCAAAAGACATTAAAAGAAGCTACCTCTTTTTACCCTGCCTGGTCCTTGACATAAAGGGGATAAAACAACGACCGGTTGGTTCAGAGTCAGTGTACTGTGTCTGAGTGGGGTATCCATGTTTAACTGCATGCACGTCACTATGTGAGTGAAATAATCTTGAACACGACATTAAACCCTATTGGCCTACCAATTTTTGAATCAGAAGATTTTTACCTAAAGCCTTAAAATATGATACATTAGCAGAAAATTGTTAGCTGTTCAAGTGGATGACATTGTTGACACTATATAGAGAGAGTGAGTGAGTGAGTTGGGTTCAACACCGCTTTTAACAGTATTCCAGTTATATCACCGTGTGTCAGCTTAATGTTGGAGGAAAGTCCAAAGTGATGCAGGTCTTAGACGTTTACCACTTCGGTGAAACCCACGTGCAGGGATATGGTGCTGACAAACCTAGAAACATAATTGGGGCGAACTGGGATTCGAACCCACAATCAAAGGTTTTGGGCGTGTCCAAGTGATGCAACTCTGCATAGGCAATATATCATGTACGTGATCCCACATATTACCATAGTTAATCTGTCATAGCATGACAAATTAACTGTGGTAATATGAAAGTATCAGGTTTTCTTGAACTTATTTTGAATGCTATACTTTAGGCCTCAGAGCTTCAAAAATTATTTGGGGGCGGTCGGGTAGCCTTATGGTTAAAGCGTGCGCTCGTCACGCCGAAGACCTGGGTTCAATTCCCGACATGGGTACAATGTGTGAAGCCCATTTCTGGTGTCCCCCGTCTTGATATTGCTGGAATATTGCTAAAAGCGGCGTAAAACCATACTCACTCACTCACTCAAATATTATTTCACTCCAGACTCATTTACAATCACAAAGGTCAAATCACAATGATGAACAGTTTGTACATGATATTCTTCATCTTGGGAAATGTTTTAAGTCATGTTCTACTCCTAACACCAATATGACACATTGGATTTTTATAATATCAAGACTGTGTGAAGTCATATGTCAGCTTATTCACACTTCAGAAACATGTGATTTTAAGGATTTGGAAACTGTGTTGGAAGTCTTTCAGCTCTAGGCACACTTTTGACATGGGAGTCAAAGGATTTCAATACGTGTGAATAGTACTGCAAATCCCCGATTAAAGGCCTGCTTGAATAAACGCTGGATTTGAGGGCCTGTCACAGATATGAAATCTGCCCGGAATAACGCTTGGTCAAATTTGCTCAGATCACCCCAACTGGAAATCAGAGAGATTGAAGATCAGTTTTTGAAAATATCCACATAATTTTGAATGAATAAATGTTCTATTTTTGGTAAACTTTCAATATGCAGGGTTCAAAGAATAGGCAAATGCCGGGGTTGTCAAATGAGGGAATTAAAGTCAGTCCAGTGTTGAGATCTGGTGTTAGATTTGCCACTGGTTGACTGACAGATGGCAACGTGTTCTCAGAACATGTGCCCCGCCATGTTTCCCTCTGGGGATGGGACAAGGAGGATATGAAGCTGAGTTGAAGTTCAAGGACAGTTATGATCTGTCTGACGGTCTCCTTGTCTCATTTGGTCACCGTGTGACATGTTGACATTGTTCTGATACTAGGGTTAATACATGGAGTTTATGACTTGGGGAAGGATTTACACAGGCTCTTCCAAATTCTGAATGGGTAGTTTTCAAAAGATAGTTCATGTTTCACTTAGTTGCAGCCCCATGAAACAGCACTGCTTTAAGATCTTGTTGAAATTTGACTGCTCCCTGTGATTTGTCTTGTGTCTATAACACAAAGATTATTAACAGTAGAGAATATTCATACATGGACTTCCTCCAAACGATCCTGGGAAATTCATTGGCACACATCCTGAAAGGGTCAAACGTGAAAGTTTGAAGATAGGAAAAAAAAATTCAAAAGAGTTTGTGGTTACACTTTCTCAAAAAGTATTAATGCATTTATCATTAAACTTTGTATGTGCATTATCTAGGATAGGGTCCTGCTTTGAAAAGGTTTTGGTCAAGATTAGTCAAAGGTTAGCATTCAGCTTTTCATAATAGATAGTGACATCATTTTCAGTTTCTGAGGACTTAATGGGACTGAAAGGGAAGGAAAAATGAAAAAAATCAATTGATTGTGATTTTGTGACAGATATGAATTTTTCAGTATACAAAAAAATTCATAACATTTGAAGAAAGTATTTAAATGTTCAAGTGAAATTGTTGATATCACAATCTCTGTAATTGCCTTCTAAAACAAACCTACCGTATTCAAAGTAATAAGCGCCCAGGGCGCTCTCAAAATTAGAAACAGGGGCGTCTTATTCGAATATAATTTTGGTGAAAGAGTTCAAAGATCGAAAATTTCGTGGTTTATGCTGACAGCCCGAAATGATACAATGATTATTTCAGAATTTAATTGCCCGTAATTAAGGGTGCATATAACACACTAGTGCGTATTATACACGAATATATAAGTCTTGTGTACATTGATCAATTGGAAGGGTGCTAATTGGGATTGTTCACAAGCCAATATGTTAGCAAATATCACTGTGGGCGCTTATTACGTCGAATACAGTATTTGGGGACGTGGCCTACAGCTACCGTCTCAGCGGTGCAGTGGTGCATGACAAATGTTTTTATTTGCTGATATACAGATTTGGTTGCAGCTTTCTTCAGTCTATATATATGGAAACATCAGGAAGTGGTTAGCTGCAATTCAAACATCATTCAATAACAAATCTAAAATGTGGTAATTTCTGTTAATCCTACAAATATATAACATTACATAGACTGTTGAGTGTATCAAACCACCTTTGATCTTGACTTTGTCAATAATAAAAATAACAATTAATATCTGTAAGAAGCATTTAATGACTAACGTCCTGTTTGGGTAAATAAATCACCTGCTGCCCTCGGTCGTAATCCACATAATGAATAACTGTTGGACTTATCCCCTGAGAAGGCATCCTCTGCTGTGCAGAGTTGCGTCCCTTGGGCACACAAGAAACCTATGATTGTGGGTTCGAATCCTGGTTCGCCCCGATTATGTTTCTAGGTTTGTCAGCACCATACCCGTGCTCGTGGGTTTCACCTAAGTGGTAAACATCTGAGACCTGCATCACTTCGGGCTTTCCTCCCACATTAAGCTGACACGCTGTGATATGACTGGAATACTGTTAAAAGCGGCGTTAAACCCAACTCACTCACTCACTGTTGTTGCTAATTCTTGCCATAAGTTGTGGAAATGGTAATCAAAGTCATGAGCAATGCGATTAAAAAATCTGAGGCGGAAGCAGGCAGTCTGGGCGCCGGCATGATCTTTGAAATTGCGCAGCACGACTTATGATTTTGTTCATGCATGTGCGATTCAGCATTCCCAAAAGTATTTAGGTCTGCAAAGTTACTGTGTTCAGTTTACTTGCCCTTTTAATAATATGTACGTTTAATTACTAATCCTACCACATCAAATGTCAACTGCATTTCTGTCAAAAGTCAAGGTCACTTTGAGGTAATTGTCAAAAGTAGTTGAATCAATCTTACTTTTGAACACAGTGCAAAGAATATTAACATTTGGGGATATCCTACATTTGACATTCCACATTCTCATCCACTTACTCCAGATACCATCTTATAATAGGACAGGAGGCGGACGGGTAGCCTAGTGGTTAAAGCGTTCTCTTGTCATGCTGAAGACCCAGGTTCGATTCCTGACATGGGTACAATGTGTGAAGCCCATTTCTGGTGTCCCCAGCCGTGATATTGTTGGAATATTGCTAAAGCGGCGTAAAACCATACTCACTCACTCACTCACTCTCTCTCTCTAGGATCAGCCCGGCTTTGAAAAGGTTTTGGTCAAAATAAGTTAAAGGTCAAGGTCAGCATTCAAGTTTAAGTAAAATGTGATAAGTTTCAGTTTCTTAGGCTTGGTAAGCTCTTATTTTTTTAAATTAATTTTTCCAAATCCTACCACAAGATATTTTGTTACCATGTCTATCAAAGGTCAAGACAAAACCAACAGAATTGGGTGGTAAGGCTCACTGACCAGTTTGATGCATGTCGTATCCTATTTGTATAGATCTATACCAAGGCCGTAGTTACCTTTTTTGACAAGGGGGGGCAAATATTTGTACAAGTATCACTTGTCCCCAACTTGATTCAAATAAACCTGTTTTCTATAAAACACACACACACACACACACACACACACACACACACACACACACACACACACACACACACAGCTGGAAGTGACACAGCTCAAATATTACTGAGTGTGGCATTAAACAACAAACAAACAGATCACATAGCTAAGACCAGTAGCCAGCACAAAAAGAACTGGATATAGTTTCTTCTGACATTGTGCGGAAAGGTGGATTTTTGTATGAAATGGTTGGCCTGAAATAGTGGTTGGCTTGACAATGCTGTGTGCTTGGGAGGTGTCATTTACAATTGTGATTTCATGCTATACCCACTGGCTGTAATATGATATGTACCTTCCTGTTTGTTTAAAGCACATGTGAGGATGAGAAAGAAAACATGAACAATACACGGGGATTAATGTGCTCACGTCATCATTTACATATTTTTGCTGAAATATTGCTGATGTAGCATAAACAATTTTGTCCATCACTTGATATCTTTGATGTTGCTTCAGGGGATCAGCTGGTGAACCACATCGCCAACTGCCAGATGCTCACCAACAAGATGGGGTTGCTCAACAGTCTGCAGGAGTATGAGAGGGTTACACTGTCAACCAAGGGGAGACTACCCCGCTTGAAAATGTCTGAGTTTGTGCCAGAGACATATCGGCTGGATAACCGTGATGACCGAGAGACGTTTCTACAGGTGTATAAAGGTATGTATATTGTCTGAAATTACTGGAAAAAAGATATTATTTAAAAAAACAAAAACTCTTTATTTATGGCTTTAAAAAAAAAGGGGTTCTCAGGCAATGACTTTTGAACATTTACTGGTAGTGTGAGTGGGTGTTTTTGGGGGTTTTTTTTGCTTGTTCAAACCAGTATGTAACCAAATAAACAGTTGTGTACCATCAACCTGGGAAAGGGCCTGCCTACATAAACAAGCATACAAACTCCTATTGCCGCCGACCCGTGAAGATTCCGGGGTAGAATAGGTCTTCAGCAACCCATGCTTGCCATAAAAGGTGACTATGCTTGTCATAAAAGGCGACTAACGGGATCGGGTGGTCAGGCTCGCTGACTTGCTTGATGCATGTCATCGATCCCAATTGCGTCGATCGATGATCATGATATTAATCACTGGATTGTCTGGTCCAGACTCGATTATTTACAGACCGCCGCCATATAGCTCGAATATAGCTGAGTGCGGCGTTAAACAACTAACCAACCAACCAACCAACCTATTGCCGCCATTACCATAACACGAGATGCGCAGTAAAGCAGTTCACATGTAAAGGGAAGTAACTGTGTGCTATATTGGATCGCATATGTTTTAAGTATTGGGATTTTTCCTTTTAATTATAAAAATGGAAATAAAAAAACGAAACATGCGGCAGACTATATGATGATGTGAGCGGTGCCTGAGAACCAAGACTATTATTTATTCTAGCCAATGCAAAATATTTTTAACACTAATTTTTGTCTTGGCGAGGTGCAAGGTGACAAATTAGTTGAAATAACACAACACTGATGAAAGGGAGAATAGTGTTTATTTTTGTCCTTGTCAGGAATATTATATCACCGCAATCTTTAGTCAAGTCTGGACAATGCAGTGGCACATGGCCCTGTGTGCAGCTCTAAGGTCATAAACTAAATCAAGTATAAGCAACCTTGGTCACAGAGAGTCGTCGGATTGGTGACCATGTTTGGCTGCCGAACTCATGTGAGTTTCTTGGGCTTCCGTCCTGCTTAACACTAAAACACATTTTGTGTCAAATCGGGCAAGGGACTGTTTGAAATATGCTTCTGTTCACCAGCAGTGAATGGGTTAATTACTGTTAACCTTCTAGCCCCTCACAAGCAGCTTTGGTTGTATTCTCCCCAGGGAACTGATAATGAAAACTGAGTGCACACGGATCCATTGACCGGGGTAATGAGCTTTTAGCATGCTTCAGGATGTGGATTTGGTGCATTATAAATATGCACATTAGATTATCCACGCTGTACCAACTGGTCAGCCAGGTTATACGTGTAGGGGAAACCATGTCTCCGAGGGATTACTAGAGATTGTAAACCCTCACATGAGGGTTTACAATCTCTAGTAATCTCGAGGAGACATGGTTTGTCCAACTTATAAACCGACTCATCGCATAGACAACGTTTTTAATTAAATAACTGTAATAAAACCTCTCAAATGTATAACCTGTATCGGAGATGAAATATCGCCTGCAGTCGTGAACTCGGTTCAATGAAACCGGTGACCTCAGCACGCGGGTTTCGCAACGGTGCGAAATTTCGTCTCGCAATGGCACGAAATCTCCACGTGCGTCTCATAGGCTGTTCGGAGTTTTTGTTCTATCAAGGGTTTACAATGATTGTTAGCCCTCCTGCGAGGTGTTACAATCGTTGTAATACCTCCTGCCAGGTGTTACAATCGTTGTAATACCTCCTACGAGGTGTTACAACAATTTCAAAAACTCCATATCGAGTTACACAAACAGCCAGTAGGTCTATAAATTAGGCTATGAATAATAATAGTCTTGGTTCTCAGAAACCTGCATCATCATAAAGTCTGCCGCCCGTTTCATTTTTATTTCCATTTTCGAAAAAAATAAAACAATTACTTCCCTTTACATGAACACTGCCTTACTGCACATGTTCTGCCAGCACTGCTAGCACTGCGAATCGCGTGTCATTGTAATGGCGGCAATAGGAGTTTGTATGCTTGTTTTTGAAGGGAGGCTCTTTCCCAGGTTGATGGTACACAACTGTTTATTTGGTTACGTACTAGTTTGAGCAAGCCAAAAAAATAAAAAATAAAAAATTGAAAAAAACGCCCGCCCTCACTATATTTTCAAAGGTCACTGCCTGATAACCAGTTCTTTTGTTTCTTTAACAAACATGGAATAATGGACCTACTCTGGCCCGGGATTCCATACAAGTCGTGTTGTGTGAGACCCGTGAACATCCGGGGTAGAATAGGTCTTCAGCCACCCATGCTTGCCGTAAAAGGCGACTATGCTTATCGTAAAAGGCGACTAACGGGATCGGGTGGTCAGACTCGCTGACTTGGTTGATGCATGGTCATCGATCCCAATTGCGTGGATCGATGCTCATGATATCAATCACTGGATTGTCTGGTCCAGACTCGATTATTTACAGACTTCTGTCATATAGCTGGAATATTGCTGAGTGCAGTGTTAAACAACAAACCAACCAACCAACCAACATGTTGTGTGAGATGGGAATTTTTTCTTTTTATGTATTCCTTTGAATTTAACAGAAATACGTTTGTCATATATACTCTTACATGAACTTACATGAGATGATTCTTTGTAGTTTGAGCTGATCATATAATGGTGTTTCTTTGAAGTGGTGATTCTGGTTTCAAAAAAGGCAAATTCAATTTTCAGAGAATGAGATCTGGATTTCCAAGCCGACAGGGATGAACCAGGGCAAGGGGATATTCCTGCTGCGGACTCAGGCAGAGATTGACAAACTTCTGTCTGAGCGAGATGCCAAACAGCAGCAGAGTAAGCCTTCACGGCCCCTCATGTCACGGATAGTACAGAGGTGTGTATAGAGGCATCACAGGGTTATATGCCAGTCCACTACATATATCAATATCATCGAATTATCACAATATTAAAACAATGAATGATTAATCTCTTGAAACTTGTGAAAAAATAGTGTAGGAAAAAATGTTTTCGGGACTATTTTATATGGGTTATTGGCTGAGGCCTTCTGACAAAACATGCAGCCTTTACCATCAAACAACATTTTCTTTGAAGCTCTTTTTAAAGGGAGAAAATCATGCCGCAAGTGTCTTATACGAATCTGCTGCTGTAAATTACAGTCCTTTGCCTGTATACAACGCCGCGATTCGCTGTGCAGAGTTGCGTCCCTTGGGCCAGAAATCTATGATTGTGGGTTCGAATCCCGGTTCGCCACGATTATGTTTCTAGGTTTGTCAGCTACATACCCGTGCTCGTGGGTTTCACCGAAGTGGTAAACGTCTGAGATCTGCATCACTTCGGGCTTTCCTCCCACATTAAGCTGACACGCCGTGATATAACTGGAATACTGTTAAAAGCGGTGTTAAACCCAACTCACTCACACTGTATACAACTTTACTACACATATATTAATCATTTCCAATTTTCTTGACTGTTTCACTGAATAATTCTTTCCAGGTACATCCACAATCCCCTGCTCCTGGATGAGCGGAAGTTTGACATCAGGGCCTACATGCTGATTGCCAGCACAGTGCCATACCTGGTTCTGTACCACAAGGGCTACGTGCGACTCTCCTGCCACAAGTACGATGGAGAGGACACCAACCTCACCACCCATCTCACTAACCAGGTACTGCAAACATAGCCAGACACCCATCTCATCACACACATCTTACTAACCAGGTACTGCAGACATAGCTAGACACCCATCTCGCTAACCAGGTACTGCAGACATAGCCAGACACCCATCTCATCACACACATCTTACAAATCAGGTGCTGTAGACAGCCAGACACACATCTCACCACACATCTCACCACACATCTCACCACACATCTCACCAACCAGGTACTGCAGACATAGCTTGGTTTACATCATACTTGTGTAACAGAAAGCAGGCTGTTTCGATTGATGGCATGTCATCTGAAGATTCAATCCTTTGTTATGGAGTCCCCCAGGGTTCTGTATTGGGACCTCTGTTGTTTGTGATTTATATTTCTCAGTTAGGCAAAGTTGCAGACACTTTTGACACTAGTCGTCATGGTTATGCTGATGATAATCAGCTCCTGAAAGTCTTCACACCTGGTGACTCAGCACAGGTGATAGCAGAATTGAGAGAATGTGCACATCTGCGATCCAGACATGGATGACACAGAATCGTCTGAAGCTCAACCCTGATGAGACCGAGGTCATACTCACTGGGAGTAGCCCATCTGTTGCATCAATATCCGAATCATTCTTGACTGTTGATGGAGTTGATATCCCCTTTTCTTTGACTGTTAAAGACCTCGGAGTCATCATTGACCAAAACCTGACCATGGATTGTCAAGTAAACAATATCTGCAAAAGTTGCTACTTCCACATTCGAAATATCAGTCAGATAAGACCCATGTTGACATACGATGCGGCACATCAGCTCGTGAGATCACTTATCCTATCCAGGTTGGACTATGCTAACAGTCTGCTTATTATTATCAAACAGGATCTCTGTAGCAAATTGCAACGTGTGCAGAATGCTGCTGCCAGATTGATATGTAGACGAAATAAGTGTGCACATGTCACTCCTTTATTAAAATCATTACACTGGCTTCCAATAAGATCTAGGATTCAATACAAAGTCGTGTGCATTGCATACCAGTGCTACTTTGGTACAGCACCTTCCTATCTGATTGAACTTCTTATCCTACACCAGCCAGCACAAGATCTCAGATCAGCGCATAAACTCCAGTTTATGTCCCTATGGTCTCACTTAAAGCATTCGGCAACAGAACTTTTGATCACACTGAATCTGTCCTCTGGAATCTCCTTCCAGTGGAAATTAGGCAATCTCCAACTCTGGACACTTTCAAGACAAAACTAAAGACTTATCTCTTTAGATGTGTCTATGACCCTGTGTGAGGCGCTATGAGTGACTACGTAGACGGAAATGGCGCTGAAGAAATGGACTTTATTATTATTATTAGACACCAGTCTCGCTAACCAGGAACTGCAGACCAAGCCAGACACACATCTCACCACACATCTCACCAACTAGGTACTGTAGACAGCCAGACACACATCTCACCACACATCTCACCAACCAGCTACTGTAGACAGCCAGACACCCATGTCACCACACATGTCACCACACGTCACCACACATCTCACCACACATCTCACCAACCAGGTACTGTAGACAGCCAGACACCCATGTCACCACACATCTCACCACACATCTCACCAACTAGATACTGTAGACAGCCAGACACCCATGTCACCACACATCTCACCACACATCTCACCACACATCTCACCAACCAGGTACTGTAGACAGCCAGACACCCATGTCACCACACATCTCACCACACATCTCACCACACATCTCACCACACATCTCACCAACCAGATACTGTAGACAGCCAGACACCCATGTCACCACACATCTCACCACACATCTCACCACACATCTCACCAACCAGGTACTGTAGACAGCCAGACACCCATGTCACCACACATCTCACCACACATCTCACCAACCAGCTACTGTAGACAGCCAGACACCCATGTCACCACACATCTCACCACACATCTCACCACACATCTCATCAACCAGCTACTGTAGACAGCCAGACACACACCTCACCACACATCTCACGAACCAGGTGCTGTTAACATAACTAGACACACATCTCACCACACATCTCACCAACCAGGTACTGTCAACAGCCAGATACCCATGTCACCACACACCTAACAAAACAGGTACTGTTAATATAACAAGACACACATCACACCAATCAGGTACTGCAGACATAACAAGACACACGTCTTACCAGCCATCTAACCAATTAAAGTAGTTAATGAAGATGTGCGTGTCCTGTTGGGATGCTGCTCACCTACCAGGTTATGGTATAGGGGAGATAACTCCTTCAGACCAAGGCAGTTTCACTCAACCAATTGAAATACACAGGGGACTTCTGTTTCTCAGTACACGAGGGTCACTTTGATTGCTGAAGTAAAGTATCTTCTCTACTGGGGTAGGGTGGGATGGATTCTTCTGAAATGTTATATTTTATTTGAAATTTAGGGTCACAAGACCAGGGCCCACAAGCACAAAACGATCTTAGCGCTAAGACTACTGTAAGCCTATGTGAAAGTATGGGAATTAAGATCAGCTTTGCGCTAAGATTGCTTTGTGCAAGTGGGCCCTGGAAAGTAAAACAGAGGCTCTGCTAAGTTTAATGTTTCATAGGATTTTTATTGTGACCTTTCAGGAAACAGTTTTGTAGATGTTCTGGTTTGTTTCGATGTGGAATTACTAAACTAATAACCGTATTTCCTTGAGCATATACAAGAATTATGAGTTTGGATGTTATTTCCCCCATGGAAAGACATTACTGTGAGCACGTAACACTGGAAATACCATGTCAACAAATCCATACTGAAGTTCGCAAATTATTCATGTAATTACACTGTCTGGCTATAGAAAGTGTTCTTTGTATATCTGGACTTCTGTTTGTAACTTATTTCATTAAATTTATTCAAAATTCCTTTTAATATTGTTTTAATTAATTTCGGCGAAATCGTGTGTGAAGCGATCGGAAGATCGAACAACTCACCGTTATTAACAGCAACCATGGTCAGAATACCGCTATTGACGCCTTGAAACGAACCTTAGTTGACAGAGAATGGATACATATATCATAAATGCAATACTTTGATTCGTTAAAAGTCATATTTGTTTTTGTAGGACGATTCTATGTCAACACGTAATTCTCGCGATCACGTAGTCTATCATAAGGCATATCACACTCTACAGCTGTAATAAAAATGCAACATACTGGGTACAAGTAAATAATTTCATTAAGAACAGATCATTCATAGTTTTATCCTGTGATAAGAATCATAACACTGATATTATTTTGTTCCCACTGTCGTGATGACAACCATTGCTATGACAACCACCTTCCATCTCCAGTTCATCCAGAAGAAGGTTCCCAACTATGGCGACGTGAAGGAGGACACAGCATGGAGCATGGACAAGTTTAACGACTACATCAACGAGAATGTTGCCCCGGAGAAAGGAGTGGAACAAGATTGGGTGTATAACACACTAACAGTAAGTGATGCTGAGCCTGGTATATTAGTGATTCCAGCCACTTGTCTGGCATATATGTCTGAATTATTACCCTCATGTTAGATAAATTCACTCACCTTGTGGGGGCGGTCGGGTAGCCTCGTGGTTAAAGCGGTAGCTCGTCACGCCGAAGACCCGGGTTCGAATCCCGACATGGGTACAATGTGTGAAGCCCATTTCTGGTGTCCCCCGCCGTGATATTGCTGGAATATTGCTAAAAGCGGCGTAAAACCAAAACTCACTCACTCACTCACTCACTCACTCACCTTGTGGACACGTGAAGATCTGGGGTAGAATAGGTCTTCAGCAACCCATGCTTGTTGTAACAGGCGACTATGCTTGTCACAAGAGGCGACTAACGGGATCGGGTGGTCAGGCTTGCTGACTTGTTGATGCATGTCATCGTATCCCAATTGTGTAGATCGATGCTCATGATATCAGTCTCTGGAATGTCTGGTTCAGACACGATTATTTATTACCGCCGTCATATAGCTTGAATATTGCTGAGTGTGGTGTCAAACAAACAAACGACACAAACAAACTCACCTTGTGATTGGGAGACCAACAATTTTCATCATTTTCCAACTGAAATGAATATGGGTGATGTTTGTTGATGAATTACTTTGTAGGTGAATCTGTAAATAACCCCAAAGAAAACAAGTAATAAACTTCCACATATTCAACCTTTTTGATATCACAGGCATGGCCATTGACCAACTTTGATGTTTTATGCGAGAGGAAGGGCACTAAACGTTTATTGGAAAAGTGACAAGTTTCAATAAAGTTTCCATCTATGTTGATTTGATATGTGGCAGTAAACTCATATTTTCTGATACTTAAACCAAACTTGAAAATGATCCTTTTGGATCAATCCCAGTTGCATCAATTCCAACTAGATATTATAATTTTTATGATAATATCTAGTTTGGATTGATGCAGCTATTTTGGGTGATAATTAATAGCTAATGAACTGCTAGATGTATTGACTACCGGTATCTGACTCAAGTGAAAGACCAATTATATCAGTCCTGTGGTTTCAGTACTAACCCTTTTGTATAATGCTGCGTTGTGTCAAACTCATTGCAATTCATTTGTGCTTTAATGGGATTTATCATCCAAAACTGGCTCCCACAGGAGATATTGCTTGGGTGAGATCAAGCGATTGCATCACAGTGCTCTCCCTAAGTTTATCAAGTTTATGTTTTATTTGTAGCTCCCACCAATGTCTTTCGCTTCTTTTCTTTCCTTCCACATTAGGCTGACTAGCTTACTGTGATACTGTTCAAAGTGTCATTAAAACTAGTTCTCTCACAAACTAACCACCCGTGAACATCCAGGGTATAATAGGTCTTCAGCAACCCATGCTTGCCGTAAAAGGCGACTATGTTTGTCGTAAGAGGTGACTCATGAGATCGGGTCAGACTTGGTTGATGCATGTCATCGTATCCCAATTGCATGGATCGATGCTCATGATGTCAATCACTGGATTGTATGGTCCAGACTTGATTAATTACAGACCGCTGTCATATAGCTGGAATATTGCTGAATGCGGCGTTAAACAACAAACAAACAAACAAACACAAACAAACCTGTAAATTTTGCACCCCGTCATATCTGCAGTTCATACATTTCATTGATTGTTTTTGTGAGCAAATGCGAGCTGGACATCATATTGTTGTTGTGTTGTTGTCATGTTGTTGTCGGGTTGTTACAGAAACAGATGCAGAGGATAATGCTCCACTGTTTCAACTCAGTTAAACACAAGCTGCAGTGTAAAGTCGGCTACTTCGACCTGTACGGCCTGGACTTCATGGTGGACCAGGAGATGAAGGTAGGCTGTGGGGTGGAGATATTGGGGTGGGAGATAGGGGTGGAGATATTGGGGTGGGAGATAGTGGTGCTGTCAGACATGGGGTTGTGCTGTCAGACCTGGGGGTGTGCTGTCAGACATGGGGGTGTGCTGTCAGACATGGGGGTGTGCTGTCAGACATGGGGGTGTGCTGTCAGACATGGGGGTGTGCTGTCAGACATGGGGGTGTGCTGTCAGACCTGGGGGTGTGCTGTCAGACATGGGGGTGTGCTGTCAGACATGGGTTGTGCTGTCAGACATGGGGGTGTGCTGTCAGACATGGGGGTGTGCTGTCAGACATGGGGGTGTGCTGTCAGACATGGGGGTGTGCTGTCAGACATAGGGGTGTGCTGTCAGACATAGGGGTGTGCTGTCAGACATGGGGGTGTGATGTCAGACATGGGGGTGTGCTGTCAGGCATGGGGGTGTGCTGTCAGACATGGGGGTGTGCTGTCAGACATGAGTGTGTGCTGTCAGGTGGGATGACTATAGGAAAGATTGTATTAAATTATTTTGGAATCAGTATCCCAACATTGAGTTTCCTTTTACAACAACTAAGTGAATGTATTTCATGTAGATCTGGCTGATCGAGATCAACATCAACCCATGCCTGGCCATTAACTGTGCAGCTCTCAAGGAGGTGATCCCTGGGATGGTGGAGGAGACTATCCGTGAGTACAGGCACACATGTTTATTTGTTGTTGACACTGCAAATCTCACACAACTGTGGCATACGACAGGCGTTGACTTTGTTATTTCGAGTTTATTGATTGATTGGACTAGTGCCATCAGTTTCATCCAACCATATAACACTGTGATATAATCGGAATACCGTTCAAACGTTGTTAAACAAACTTACTCACTCCCTACATTTTTTATGTTGGCGATGACAACTTTCTACATCTCTGGCTACAGAATTACCTTCAGAAACAAACTTTTAGATTGTTATATGATTTGATAATTTGTAATGAAATAAAATGCAATTGTGAGAATCATTTGACTTCTGTTTCCCAGATTTATGCCTGGAGAGCTTTGAGAAGAGTCGCAGGAACCAGCCGTTGACGCCACTCAGTTCCCTGAAGGAATTCACAGTGTTGCATTGTGGCTCCAACCCCTACGCTGTTGCTCATCGGCAGACAAGAAGTGTCTCCCCCGCCAAGGAAAACAGCCAGGATAAATCAAGGTCTACGCAGTCATCCAACAATCCCCGGCAGAGTCGATCACCAAGCCGATCAGTTCCTCGTGTCGCCATTACACAAACTCCTGTCGTCACACAGTCTCAGTACCAGATACGGAAGTCTGAATTTTCCTCTATTTTGAATCCACAAGCTGCAGGTGGAGGGAGTAAAACTACCACCAGTGCTAAAGTGAGTACTGCTAGTGGAAACTCTGGCAGCTCAAATTCTACAACGACTTTGCCAAAGTCTGCAAATGGTGCAGGAAATACCAACTCAGGGAATTCTGGGACAGTCAAAACGACAAAGCCAGCTAGCAACACCATAACAACAACCAGTTCTTCGACAGATAAAACAACAAAAACAGCAAACAACACAACAGCAAGCAATGGGGTGAAAGGGAATACTGGGATAGATAAATCAAATAATACACCAGAATCGACCAAGTCCGCAACCGCTGGTAACGGTAATGGGGGTTCAGGGAATTCTGGAACGGCAAACAGCACCAGTGTAAAAACTCCCAGGACTATTAAAAGCGCAGATGTTAAGACTAGTCCCAAGTCTGAGGTTGATGTAAGTAGGAAGAACAACAGCAACAGCAGCAGCAGCAGCAGCACAGCCTCATCATCAACCAAGGCTGGCATCCCCAATGGAGGAAGTACTTCCGGGACAGACAAGACGGTAAAGACTAACAACAGTACTCGGACTACTGACGTTAAAACAAGCCCCAAATCAGATAGTACTGCAGCCAAGCCTCGGCAAGGCAGTAGTGAGAAGCCAGCCAATAAAAACAGCAACACAAGTTCTCAGAAACCTAAAGCCAGTTCTCCAAGCAAGACAGAAGCTGACAAAGGCAGTAAGGCCGACAAATCTTCTAAAACTACCGTTACAGCTTCTTCGCCCAAGTCGGATTCTTCGGGGAAAGATGTAAAGACTGTGACGAAGACGACGAAGACTGAATCAAAAAAGGACAGTAAAGTTTCTGATGGACTTTCAGTGAAACAAATGGTTCCATCTAGTCAGACTCCGACTTCGAAAGGGTCAGGAGATGAAGATGTGAAACTGAAGATGACACATGCCAAAGCCTCTGCGAATCGGAAGAACAGACCTCGAGCTGACACTGGAAATTGATGACATGTCTGTTTAGTTTCTGTCACATGTTAATTTTCATGACACTGTGTGTCGGGATAGATGCAGTGCTCCAGATAAGCTGCGTATCTGCGTAAAATACGCATCAGATATGCAGAAATATGCAGTAAAATAAAATCCAAGCGTATCAAATACACAACGAACAATACTGATACACTACAAAAATAAAACTGGTGTGTATCATCAAAATATTGTGAAGTAACCCTGCGTATTCGATTAGCAAATCAGCAACTTATTTTGAAATTATAAACGGGCATTCCGTCAACCTTGCCAAACTCCACGATGACAGTTACATCATGATCATTTGCCATCACACTTTCTTGTGGAAGTATCGTGGTATTTTTTAGTCCTAATAAAGCTCTCGAACCCACATGACACCAGTTTGCAGGGACTAGATAAATAGTGTTGTTAAATATTTAACTTAAATACCCACATGTGTAAAAACTAGTGGGTAACAGAAATTTGAATACCCAGATAGAATTACTGATACCCAATGATTTTAAAATGCATGGGTTAAATACCCACAACATCAAAAGCTTATCTGGAGCTCTGTAGATGGGTCTAAGTGTGTGTGATATCTCATTTCAGAGCAGCTTGGGCGAAATATTGTTTTGACACAGAATGATTCTGAAATTTTCAAAATCAGTCTGTTTAATTTCAATACAAGTCAACTTCTGTAGTTTTACATATTTCTGGAATCAGCATAAGATAAGGAATAATGTATAATCTCATGTCCATGTATCATGGTTCCATTATGCAGATAGGGTTGCGACGGGTACTCGAGTACCCGATAACGGGCCGGGTAGCCTAGGACTCGAGTCCAATTTTCAGGACTCGAGTACCCTTTCAGGGGAGATAACTCGTAAGACACTTCAAAATGGACGACAAACGTTCAAATGTTTGGGCGTATTCTGACCTTGATGACACAAAGAAAAAGACCAAATGCTGTCTCTGTGGCATATGTATCAGCTACGCAGGTAGTTCGACGAGTTCCATGAAAAAGCATCTAAGTTTTAAACACAAGAGCATTTACTTTGATATTCTGCGTCACTTGTGGTTTTAGGTAAGCCATGCAGGCATTTAATAAAAAACATAATACCTAAGAATAGATCAATAGATGTTTGATGACCTTTTATTCGCAAAAGCATTACAAACAAGTGGGACAACATTGAACTACGGGTACTCGAGTCCGGTTCGGGTATTGTGTGCCGGGTACTCGAGTTCAGTTTTTGTACCCGGTCGCAACCCTATATGCAGATGCACTAGGAATTAAAACCTCATGTTTTCTAGGGTTGAAGAAACAGTATTAACCTCAGTTTGATCCAGAAATATCACCTTTGTCACGATTGTGTTACCCGGTATTCTTGATTTCATCAATGATCTGTGATTAGTTCGACGATTTACTCACTTGCATGAGAGTATGTACAGCATATTGCAACCAATCACCACCCGGCTGCAGATGACATACCCGGTAAGGATTATCCAATGAAAGCAAACTTTGTATGGTTGCTGTTGAAATCATCGTATAAGACCTCCAAGTGCTTTTGTATCACTTTATCATTAGCTAAATTTTCATCTTGATTGCTTATCAGTAAAGGAAATTACCTTTGTTGATGTTGATGTTAGTCCTTCTAAAATGTCCCCGGATTTTCATCCTTATTGATTTCAAGGAATTTGGAAAGAAAATTATTTGAAGTCCATGTAAAATAATACATGTGCATATACTCGTTAATGATACTGCTTCTGTCATGAATATTAAAAGCAGAACTCTTTCACTCTTTGACTGATTCAGATTTATATCAACAAAAAAGACAAGACAGTGATCTTCAAGACCTAGCATCTTTGATAAGTATCTGGTGACATATTTTCTTGTCATGAAGTGGACATAGCAATACTGTACTTCTGTGCTATGGTACTGCTGATTCTACAAGAATGAAACTGTATTTACTGCAGTCATTTTGTCTATCCCAAGTTGTCCAAATTTTCAAACTTATCCTCTCTCACACTATGCATTTCTCCCTTCTTCTTTCAATCCAAACAAGCTCTAGATTGTCTAGGTTCAGATCCAGGTACCCTGGGATTTCACTCCGATTTTCCTGGTCCCGAGGAAAAACAGCATGAAGCTCAGGATGATCTTCAACATGAAGACGTTCCACACGTTGTGTCTGGAAAATCCGCCCTTTTTGCATGATGTGACAATTGCCAGGTCCAGATCTCCCTGCAGATCTCACTATGTCCGCATCTTCAGTGGTGGTTGGTGATGTTGAATGTTTGCGCCGGAGTCTCTTAGCGGCTAATCGCCTCAACCCAACACCTCTTCGTCGATGCATCGACCGTAGACTATACAGAGCACTTCCACGATCTACAGTTGGCAGGGCCCTGGTCCATTGAATAGAAGCAGCTTCATATCAAAAACTCGAATTCACGGTGGTCATTCTTGCAGTGTCCCACTGGGCAGATCTCATTCAGGTGTCACATCTCATGATCCACTCAAACAATCTATCTGTCATCTGGTATATCAACAAGATGGGTTCCACCAAGTCCATGTCACTCCTGTCACTGACGATTGAATTCTTCTGGTTGGTTAACTCCCTCAATGTTCAGGTCCGAATAAGGCACTTTCCCAGGATCAACATTGTCACAGCAGACTCCCTATCCCGACCTGACCAACCGCCACTGACAGAATGGCGTCTCCACCTGATGATCTTCCGGTGGATCTGCCAATTTTACCAAAGCCCAGACGTTGACCTTCTTGCAACCAGGTTCAACATTAAGCTACCATGGTTCGTCTTTTCCATCCCGGATCCTCAGGCATGGGACCACGATGCTCTGGTCATCTTGTTGGAGTCATTCAGAAGGCGGCGTTCACCAACCAGCTTCGACTGGTTTTGGTCGTGCCCATATTGGCCAACTTAAAGTTGGTTCACAACACTGGTACAGATCGCAGAAAGTTGCACCATCATCTGCTCCAGCCTCAATCCCACCTGCTGCACCCGTCACCTGACACCCTCCATCTTTGCGTCTGGCTCATCTCCAGAATTCGCTTGTCGCCAAAGTGTAATCGATAAGAGTGGCCAAGACCATCACTGAGGCTCACTGTTCCTCTAGTATGGCCTTATACAACCATATATGGAAAGTGTTCAAAGCCTATGGTCAAGGTCGTGACATCACCAAGCTGACCACTGCTTTCCCTCCTTCGAGATTACAGTGTGTGACCCATTTGCTTGGGTGGTGACCATGGTGATGCTGGAATGTGTTCGAGTGAATCGTTTTTAGAGCTGGAAACTTTGTTCAAACATGTTTTTGCATCAGGATCGAAAGAAGAAGGAAGAAATGCAGAAGTATGTAGTATATTTTATAAATATGTGTGAATAGATGTCACTACATGTGAATAGATGTCACTACATGTGAATAGATGTCACTACATGTGAATAGATGTCACTACATGTGAATAGATGTCATTATTTGTAATTATTATGTTATGTTTGAATAGATAGATTTGCCTTGAATAGCTGTGTCAAAATACAATTTAAATGTCAAAACTTGTATGTTCTTACAACAGAGAGGATCAAACATTCCCACATTTTGTGGAATAATACATGTATGCAATGTAATGATAAGCCTCATAGTTAATATTCAACATTTTCAGTTACCGTCCACTCCTTACAGTATGTTTTAGAAACATGGCAACTTGTTTGGGTAACGTTTTGAAGAACAAATCTGTAAAATAAAAAGTCTGGATGAGATGAACATCAACCTGCTCTTCCACATCCCAGGTAGCAGAGTTGGATGAATGAGGTAGTGCGTGGCTCCATCACAGTACAACAGACAGCAGGGAGTGCATCCATGTTTTCTTGTACAGGCTGATGAAGCTGGGTGGATTGTGTGTACCGCTAGATGTATATACTCGCTCAATTAGTCCTACCTCACAGTTACCACTAAGGGAAGTAGGAAATTGAAGTAGTACCATGTTTTTATTAGAAGTCAGAATGTTTGAGTGGAATAACCATGGGAGTACTAGGTTTTGCAAAGCTTTTAATGAAGAGATTGCTTTAATAGTGAGATTCTGACAATCCAGAAAGGTGAAAAAATCCAAGCTTAAAAGCGCTTTATTTGTTACTCTGCTGAATGCAAACTTGAGTCCACCATATACAATAAGATGACCTGACATCGCAACATATTGACATAACGTCTTAGCGAACAACAACAATTATCTGCTATGTTATTTTATATATATATTTTCCTACTACACACATGGCCCTTGCTCTTTGGTGTTCTAAGCACGACAGCCTCCAGAAGTCAATGTTAAGGAATGGAGTTATGATCACCTCATCGCTGAGTTCGCTTTGTAGGACATGACTGAGGAATTTGGAGCATTAAAAAAATCTTCCAAACCAAGAAATACAAGAAGTCTAGCCGGCTTAAGAGACATATATATATATATATATATATATACACACACACACACACACATATATATATATATATATATATATATATATATATATATACTACTCAACTTTTGATAAGGATTCTGAGATGCTTCATACTCTATATGTAAATGTCAAGAGTAATGACAATCATGAAATAATAAAATTATCCCGATCAAAAGTATATGTACAAAAACACAAACGAAAAAAGTCAGTCCTTTCATTCGTGGATTGTCTTGTTCAAAAGTTTAAGACAATTTAGTTTAAATACTTTTGTTGGATGTCATTGAAGAATATATAGGTTTACAGAAGCATTAACAGAGCTTGTGTGTGACAGTAGCTCACTGTATTATAAGAAGCAAGAAAATACAATTAGATGTGATGATTATTTTATATGTAAACAGGTATTTTACATGAATATGTATGGCACAATTAAGCCAGACTTTTTAAAAACATGGTTCAGGAATTTGCAAACTCCAAAAAGTTGAAAAAATTGAAATATAGAGAAACAGGTTGTTGTTTATATTCCGCGGACCAGAAATGAGTAGAATGTTAAAAAAACCCAACTCATTTAATGTTGCTATCGTTAATTAAGATGCTATAATTTAAACTTGTTGAAAATTGATCTTAAAAACTTCAAAACAAAACAAATTATTTAAAATATCTCCCCCAAAAATTGAAATTGGAATATTTTTTTTCTACCTTCTGACCCAAAATTTAGGCACAAAAATCTGTAAACC